CACAGAATGAAGAGAAGATGTGATATTCAGAATAAGTCAGTCACATTTTTGATATATGAAATAGATTTTCGTTGGTGGTGTCTGGAGTGTGGTTTTTCATGGATTTTTTTTGCAAACTTGAATACTACCTCAGGAAAAAATTCATAAAACATTTTCTAATATGTTTAGGAAAAAATCAACAAATCTATTTTTAGATCTAATATTTGCTAACAAGGATGCAAAACCCCCCAAAAAACAATCAATTTTCAAGAACGATAAGAGCGGTACTCATTTCGTAAGACAAGACAACAAAATCCAATATGGCCGCCGTATCCATGGAAACGAAACTTTTTTTTCTCAAATTTTATTGCAGATTATAACACTCCTTACTACGCTTTTTTTATTATTTTGAAATATGGTAAAATTTGGTCAACTAATTAGCCAGATAGCATTCAGGTGTAGCCCCCCCCCCCCTCCCCCCTTATGTGAATGTAGAGTCAACATTGAGTCATATGGATGAAATTGAGGTTAAAGTAAATACATCTACATTACACGGGCAAAAAAATCACACACATTTCTATTGTATTTATTTATACGAAATCCTGATACATGGACTGCTAGGGGTTAAGCCCAAAAATCAGATTTTATATTATAGTATTGTTTCAAACGGAAAGCATCTCTACGGGTGGCAGGTGGTTGCTCTGGTGTGGTTTGCTTCTTCTTTCCTTTCAATCATCTTTCTTCCTGATCTCTCCTTATTTTTGTACCACCTCTAATCTTCGTCATTTATATGGCATTATTGTGTTGTAAGTGCCTTCAAAAACATCTGTAAAATCAGCGTATAAACATTGTTTAAATGAAAAGGGGTTATTGACCCCCCGCCCCTAAATCGAGCAAATAAATGGCCACCAACATTAGATTTAGAACTAGTGAAGAGGGGAAATTCCCTTTAGACCAGTAAAGAATTGGGTCCCTTTTGGACCAGTCCTGTTCACTGATTTCTTTCTTCAGTTTTGGAATCCATTTGTCCCATTGACTCCTCTGTTCTCCAGCTGCACTTTTTTTAAATCGGTAAAAATTGCGTGTCTGAAGGCTTGCTGTATATTTGTTGCCCCTTGCGCAACATGGAGTGGAAGTGAAACATTGAACTAATTGAACAAGATTTAATAGTTTTAGATTTACATGTATATCTGTTAAAATTGAGTTAAAATGCATTCTCTCTCTTCGTTTCTTTGCGCGTTTCTTTGAAAAACACCAGAACACGTAAGTAGCATGTAAATAAGTACCCCCCCCCCCCCCCCATTCTCATCTTGGAATAGTTCAAGTCCAAAACACAGCTCAGGCAGATCAAATTATTCTCAAAATGTTAATGTGTTCTGTAGAATTGAACTTTCTCACATTTATTGGCCGACTTGTATTAGATGCATTCAATCTTCAATCGCTTCTAGATACTGTTGTTACAGAATATGAAGGTAAAGGATTATTGTTGAATATAAAGAAAACATAATGCATGGTAATATCCAAAAAGCAGCAAATCCTATTTGTAATCTCTTTAGCAAAGGTGAAAATATCAAACAAGTCCATCAGTTTAAATATCTAGGATATATAATAACATCTGGTGCCGAATGTTCCACAGAAATAAAACGGTGAATTGCAATGACAAAGGCTAGTTTCAATAAAATGAGCCCAATCCTGAAAAACATAAACACTTCAATGACTACGGTACCAAAATGAAAGTTCTGAAATGTTATGTATGGTCAACCCTTCTATATGGCTGTGAATGCTGAACAATCAGTAAAGATTTAAATAGAAGCAACAGAAGTGTGGTTTCCTCGTAGGCTGCTGAGAATATCGTGGAAGGAAAAGAATTCAAATGAGGTAGTGCTTGATGAAGCCCACGTTGGATGTTCACAGTTAAAAAATAATCAGGAAAGATCTTGGACATCTAGCTCTCACTGGCAAAATTGAAGGCAAACGAAGCAGGGTTAGACCCAGGGCAACCTACTTAGGGAACCTAAACAAATGGATAAAGGGGAAGAACAGGGAAATGTAGCTTTTTTAAGAACAGAGCATTAAAGCAAAGGAATGAAAGGAGACTCGTGAATGCCGATGTCCGTTGCAGATCTGGCACTGGATGATGATGTATTAAGTGCCTACCCATAACTGTAATCGTTCTTTTGCCAGATTACAACCGAGCAAAGGAAGCTCTAGTGGTCTGGAGGTTATGGCGTTTGCCTCTCATTCAAGAGGTCCCGGTTTCGAATCCGGATAGCGACGGAAAATATTCTCCTTTCACCTCCTTTTTTTATTAGAGGTTTTACGGCGCTCGCAACTGCATAAGGTCATCTGAGCGCCAACGGCTGGATGTCAACAGAGAAGTCCATACAGGGAATCAGGCTTACTCTGGTCACCTCTCTAGCTTCAACAGGACAAAGTCTGCTTCGACTATCAAGGCACCCTGGAAATAGCGGGTCACAAGAGTGTGACAAACATACAAAAGATGTAGAGGGGAAATGACGATTGCAAGGATTAGGAAAGAAAAACAATTTTACTGGGCATAAGAACAAGTTTATGTCTCCCCTTTGGTTTCAACTCCTTTCCTGCTCGCTAACATTGTTCTGTCGCCTGCTTTCGTCTCCACTTTCTGCAACCACCCCCTCACCTCCTTTGCCTCGTCCTCTTGGCTTCTGACTCTTTCAACAGCCTTTCTACAGCTAATACTTGGCTCTTTTTTTACTGCTGTCTTTCAACAACACCCGCGATCTTATGGAGGGTTAGCTTTAACACCTAGCCTTCTCGCATAAGGGCGAAAAATCTCAGAGGTCCCGTGTGCAAATTGCGCATGCTGAAGATCCCTTGGTGGTCCAAAATCGATAAGAGTAGGCTACAGCCCCCGCCAGGGCAAAATTTAAAATTTCCTACCAACTGAAAATGTTTAGCGTGTCCCGCACGCTTATATGACCTTATGCAGTTTCGAGCGTCGTGCAACACTTACCACCCCTCCCTGGAAAGAAACGACAAAAAAAAACAACCTCAGCGAAATAAATTTACCTGTGCCACTGGTTCAACAGGGACCAGGTATCACGTAAACTTGTCTAAAAGAGACACACTAAATGTGCAACCAAATCGTCAAAGTAAATTAATTCTACATCCATTGTTTGGCAGTAAGTGTACTTTTATCGTATGTATTATAACTATTATACATCCATACAACAAAGGAGAATCAAGCACATCGTGATCTAGGTGGGTGGTTGGTAGGGGCTCTGTTGTGGTTTCCTCCTCTTTCCTACCAAACATCTGTAATATTTATCTCTCCTCTTTCTTTTCTTTGTGTGTTACTTCCGACAAACGCATCTGATCTTCAACACCTATATACAAAAACTGTTTGTGTTGTAAGTGCCGTATTATACACAACCTGTTTGTGTGTAAGTGTTGTACTATAAATAACCTGTTTGTGTGTAAGTTTCGTACTATAAATAACCTATTTGTGTTGTACGTGCCGTAAAACTCTTACTTGGACGTAGATGTACGATATTTTTTTTGGTGTATATAGATGTAGTTCTTATAATCGTCTTTAACCCTTTCTTCCTTTCTCCTAACGAAACACGGGGAAAGCACTAGGTTGGCGAAGTGGGTATCATATTGGGTTTTAGAATGGATGGCGGGGTTCGAATCGGGGCGTTCCTGAATTTCGCTTTCTATAATGAGTTGTCAAGACTCACCGCTTATTTCTCCCAGTTCCATCGGCGACGATCGTTTAATCTGGTGGTCCCGCTTCTCAAGTAGCCGGATAGTGGTGAAAAGAGACCATCAATGATTTATTTATAGAGGCACCAGCCATCCATGTCCAGGTGCTGTTTTAACTCATTTAAACCCCATCGGCCGCTGGGAGCGTCGGATACTAGTGACAGTTTTTTCCTTTATTTAAAGATAGTTTTTGCTTGTTGTTCGGAGCTATTCCCGAACCAAGTTTTTTCGTAATGACTTACCTTTTGTTTCCGCCATTTAGCAGTTGGAGGCAAACGATTGGGGTTATATTGAGATAGAACACCAGGTTTAGGTGACTGTGGAAAAAACTCCGGGAAACGGTGGAAAAAATTCAGGGTTTAAAGCGTTAAACCCTTGCCGTACGTACCAATAGCACTCGCCCCTTGCGTCCTAAGTGACCTATTGCATGCATCCAGAAGTTGAAGTAGCGAATTTTTTTTATTAGTTTACTTTTTTGGGAAGGGGGGGGGGGGGCATCGACTCTATCAAAACGAAATGAAGAAAATCGTGTTAAAAAGCGAATAGGCCCCCGGGCCTTACCCACCAAGCCTGTATGACGAGAATCCACAAGGAAAGAGAAAAAGAGGAAGGCTTAAAAGCATTGAAGTTGAAGGAGGGACGTTAAGCTCGGGTCTAAAACAGTTGGGATACAGCTGGATAGAGGTGGACACTCCTGCCCCAAATAGAAGCAGATGGAGAGCTCTTGTTGGTGATCTATGCTCTTTCACGGCGTGAGAGATGATGATGTTGATATAGCTGCAGTAAAACGTAACTTTTTCTGGTCTTCAAAGGACAAACCAATTCTATTCTTTGTTCTTAATTTGGCATCTGCGTGGTTGGCAGGGTGCTCTCGTGTGGTTTGCTCCTTCTTTCCTATCAAACATCTACTGTCCTATCTCTCCTGGTTCTCTTCTTTGTGTGTTACTGTTGAGTAACATCTCTCGTGTACGGAGTGCCCATTGGGAGATCGGGTCGGGTCGGGTCGGGTCGGGCTGGGTCGGCTTGCTAGCCAGACTGAGGGCGCAAAGCGGCTATGGTGGCACACACCGATCGCGCTCGACTCGTCCCCTCAAAAACAAACGCGTTTGTTTTCAGGTCGAACGATCGATCAGACCCGACCCGACACGATCCTCTCCGCAATGGGCACCCGGTAAAATCTTCTGTACTTATTATATTATCATGACTTGTTTAATGTTTGTGATGCAAAGGCTGTAAAACTATAACTAAAAGTAAAACTTAACTCTGTTCGGCAGGTTACAAGAAGAAGCTGCTAGTGTTGCTGTCGATTTCTGTGGTTAGCCTCCCCCTGACCTGGCTGGTCGGCCACTCCCCACAAGATGGCGCCACTGAGACAGCCCAGGATGAACGGTGGTTCCATCCCTCACTATATGGCGGGGATGTGGCCCAGCAGGGGAAACTACTGGACTCCTGGCGATACAACGATCTCACGAACGCGCTTGATCATGCATATAGGTAAGTACAGTTTAACCTGCTCTGACGGCTACCTTCATAAGACAATCACCTGTATGGCGACAAGGGCTTGGTGAGTACTCGGGTAGTTACCCGGGTAACCGGGTAAAGAGCTCAAAATCGGCTGCCCGGGTATTTGATGTCGGGTACCCGGGTTTTCTAATCCCCTTCGTCAATGCTATGCAAATGCACTTACCTTACGTCCCGTCGTTCGAACCTCATTAAGTACTGAGTACTTATCAATAGTGAGCTCTCTAAGTCGATACAGTACTCGATATTGGCCTTTATCGACTAACAGCCACCACTACTCGTACCTCTTTTCCCTGGAAAACAGCAGACCACAAAAAAGGCGACGTTTGGGCATGTTATAAAGAAAGTTTCCAAGAATCAATTGGATACTTTGGTAGGGCTAGGCCTATAGTTTTAACTTCAGTGTCCTTATGAAGCAATTTGTGTGCAGTTCTAAAAATCCAACGGAGAAGCGGAAAATTTCTAAAAATTATGTGAAGTAAAAGGGTTTAAATTATAGCTTTGGATTTGTCATTTTAGCACAATTTGATTTCTTTCAAGATGTCTCAAAGAAAGTCACACGCTTGGGATTACATTGAGAAAAAAAAAGACGAAAAAAAGCGCCTCGTGCAACATATGCAAAAGCATAATAAAAGTTAACGGGTCTTCCACTTCAAGCCTCTTAAATCATTTGAAGGTAAAATACCTAAATGAAATAGCAAGCAGGCAGAGCAGCACAGAAACACCATATTATGATAACTGGAAGGTCGGATACCCGACGGGTACACGACGGGTTCTCGGGTATTTTTTTCATTACTCGAATATTACCCGGGTATCAAATTACCCGTATAATTCCAGCCCTAATGGCGACCTCCCCACCCC